AAAAAAAAAAAAAAAAAAGGATCATTGTGAGACCTCAGGTGAGTCTAGAGGTTTGGGGCAGCAGCCAGTCAGCTACCTCTATGGCTTTACTCCTCAAATCTGTGCAGCAAGAGCCTGGGTTAGACAGCAGAGGGGACTAGAAGTTTGAGCTTGATTTCACAGCAAGGAGGGTCTGGATGGGACCACAGGTGAGACTAAAAGTCGATGGCAGTGCCATATCTGGGGGGTGACAAACTAGTAGAGTAAGAAAGGTCTGGGTTTGACCACCGGGAGGCCTGGGATCAAGTGTGGAGCTGTGGCCGTAAGAGGGACCTGGATTTGATTCCAGGGAGGACTAGAGATTCTGGATATTCCCTCTGCTAGCTGCTGGGAGGAGCTGCACCCGTGGGGCCAGGGAGGACTGGAGGTCTGGGGCAAGGGATGGAACTTGGGCCAGTGAGAGCTTTGGGTTAGATTAGAGGGGCTCAGGTGTAAGGGATCCAGGGTGGCCCTCCTAGCAGTCAGAGAGCTCCAAGGCAGATCATGGTCAGACCTGGAAGTCAGGGCTACATGTTGGTGACACAGCGGGTGTGCCCAGGGCCCGAGACCTGCACGTGTCGACCCCACCCCCTTTCCCATGCCTCGCCAGGTGCGTCCACTGGAGCGCCGCAAATACATACTCAAGTCCTTGGACCAGATTGAGACGGTGAATGGTGGCAGTGTGGCCAGTCGGCTGACCTTCCCCGACCGGGAGGCGCTGGCAGAACACGCCGACCTCAAGAGCATGGTGGAGCTGATCAAGCGCATGCTGACCTGGGAGTCCCACGAGCGCATTAGCCCCAGTGCCGCCCTGCGCCACCCCTTTGTGTCCATGCAGCAGCTGCACAGTGCCCATGAGACCACCCGCTACTACCAGCTCTCGCTACGAAGCTGCCGCCTCTCACTGCAGGTGGAGGGCAAGCTCCCCACGCCTGTTGTGGCCACTGCAGAAGATGGGACCCCCTACTACCATCTGGTGGAGGAGAAGGAGGCTGCAGGCATGGGCAGTGTGGCCGGCAGTGGGCCCTTCTTCCGAGAGGAGAAGGCACCGGCTATGCAAAGAGCCATCGACCAGCTGGATGACCTGAGTCTGCAAGAGGCTGGGCACGGGCTGTGGGGCGAGACCTGCACTGACGTGGTCTCCAACGTGCTGGCCCCCCTCAAGGCAGCCATCACTGGCCGCCACATGCCGAACTCGGACCCCGAGCCCATCCTGGCCTTCTATGGCAGCAGCCTGGCAGGCCGCCACAAGGCCTGCAACCCACCCTCGGGCTCCAAGTCCGACTCCAAATTCAGCAATCTCATCCGGCTGAGCCAGGTCTCGCCTGAGGAGGACAAACCCTGCTGGGGCCACGACTGGGAGGAAGGAGAGCACATTGGGGCCTCTGCTGAGTCCCCAGCCATCCTGCAGCGAGGTGGAGATGGGCCCAACATTGAAGACATGACCGTGGATGCTGAGGTGAGCCGGGTGTGTTCAGGATATGATTAGGGTGTGGGGAGGCTCAGCACACACTCACCCACATTCAAAGATAAGATTACGGTGTGGGGAGGCTCAGCACACACCTTGATGCCATCAGGATATGATAAGGCTCAGCACATACTTGGCTACCTTCAGGCTGTGGCAAAAGCTCAGGGTACCGTAATCCACTTATAAGAAGTGACAAAGAGGCTGGGCATGGTGGCAGGTGCCTGTAATCCCAGCTACTTGGGAGGCTGAGGCAACGGAATTGCTTGAACCCGGGAGGCGGAGGTTGGAGTGAGCCAAGATTGTGCCATTGCACTCCAGCCTGGGCAACAAGAGCAAAACTGTCTCCAAAAAAAAAAGGGCCGGGCGCGGTGGCTCAAGCCTGTAATCCCAGCACTTTGGGAGGCTGAGGCGGGCGGATCACCAGGTCAAGAGATCGAGACCATCCTGGCCAACATGGTGAAACCCCGTCTCTAATAAAAATACAAAAATTAGCTGGGTGTGGTGGCGTGAGCCTGTAGTCCCAGCTACTTGGGAGGC